CCATTAAGCATATATAAGTGGTTAAGTCACTAACACACAATATTAGCTTTAATTGCTACGCTTAGCATTTTAATCCCAAACTTTGGATTCTTAACCTACTCAATTTTACAAGAATTGTCATATTTTTATTATATTTTTCTGAGCACCTTTTCGATACGCGCTTTTCATAGCCAATACCAGTTTCCGGCACCAGTTCTCATCATTTGGACTCGAAACTCGTTTTACAAGTCCTACATATTATTCTAATAATTATCATGCACTTACTTTAATTTTCCGGGATACTTTTTCGGTACGCATTTATATCGACTAGCGGACCGGTATTTGCACTTTTCTTCCGAAAAGCGACTTTCAGCATTCTTACTCACTAATTATAATTATTAAAGCCTCATAATAATTATTAGGGTCAATTATGGAATCATTTCCTAATTTTTGCATAATTAATTAATTAAATTCCTAAATTAGCGGTGCGGGTTCTTACACCATGATCTTTGATAAACTTATTCTCAAAGAATTATGCATCTCTGGATTCTATCACCAAGTTGTAGATAGATCCAAAAATCTATTTGCAGGACTGTCTTCTGCACTTCCTAGATATACGCAAGTAATGGTTCTATGTCCCACCTTAGGTCTCTTAGGATTTTGTATTCTTACATAAGCAATACATCCCCAAGTCTTTTAAGAGTATCATATCTACAAGAGCTCTTATGTCGTATCTCATAAGGAGTCATAGACAACTTAGAGTGCGACAACCTGTTCAGGATGTGATTGGCAGTTAGAACTGCTCCTCCCTAATAGGAGGAAGGCATGCCAGCTGTAAGTAACAGAATTTAACATTTCAGTTAATGTCATATTCTTGCGCTCAGCAACACCATTTGATTGGGGTGAGTAAGGAGCAGTGGTTTCAAGTATTATGCCCTCCGAAGCATAAAATTCCTTGAACCCTATTATTGTGTACTCTCCTCTTCTATCACTCCTAAACCTCTTAATTTTCAAGTTGAGTTGATTTTCTACTCTTGACTTAAAAATCTAGAACCTTTCAAAAACTTCATCTTTCAATTTCAACAAATAGACATGACAATATCTAGAAAAATCATCTATGAATGTATTAGATCAAGAAGTTGTGTGTTTTAGAAACCGACTTAAAAGGTTTTCTAGTGATCTTATTTGTGCACATACTTCACATTTGTCAAATCGAATAGAAGCATTTAATGGAGTATCAAGATTTTTAGCTAGATGTTGCATTTTCCCGTAGTTCACATGTCCAAGTCCATTATGTAACAACTTTGGATCTATCAAAGTTGAACTCACATGGTTTATGCTCATAGTATCTAAACTCAATCTATACATATCATTAATCATGAATGCACAATCAAAATAACAAGAGTTAACAAATAAAGTTACTTTATCATTCATAGTTGAGAAAGGCATACAAGCTTTATCAAGCAAAGATACCAATTTTCTTTTAAGTAAAAGTGCTACTCTAACTTGTTTTTGAGTTAGTAGTTTACTAGAAGAAAACACCAAGTTTATAGTTGAGAAATACATATCATCTTTATCAAGCAAGGATATCAATTTCTTTTTAAGTAAAGGTATTACTCTAACTTATTTTAGAGTTAGTAATTTACTTGAAGAAAACACCAAATTTGCAGTTCCAACATGAGTCACATCTGTCTCATTACCATTGCAATTTTCCACTGTTTCTTTCACTTCTATGGGCTTAGTGAGTAAATTCCTATCATTTGTAGTATGACAGGTAGCACGGCTCTCCAACCACCACTCAAAAGAGACACTGGCCTTTCCATTCTTCATCATTCCAATGAAAGCTTAAGGCTCAGGTTCAATAGTTAACATATTAGCCTCGTTTTGTGGTGTGTTATTCTTTAACTTATTTGGTAGCTTACACTCTACTGCCTAGTGCTCCCACTTTCCACAGTTATGGCACTTGTATTTCTTCTTTTAAAGATAGTGTTTTTGGCCACTAACTATGAAGAAGATTCACCTTTTGGTGGCTTAGACTTCTTTTGAGGTTTATTGGAATACAAAACTAAGTAGGCAACTAACTTTTGTTGTCCTATTTGTTCCAAACTCTTCTTAGAATAGTTTTGATCCTCGATATAAATAAACCTCTTTAATTTATCCAGTTCATTCTATTCTTTTAGTCTGTGCATTTCAGTCTTAAAAGAACTCTATTTAGCAAGTAGCTTACTCAACACAAGATCGACAAAGAGATTATCAGACATATTAGATTTATCATCTTTAAGCTTGTTCCTCATGTTCACTAATTCAATTAATTAAAAGGTGATTCTTGAATCCATATTAAATTCGAATTCAAAAAAAAAAGAAAAACTTCTATGCTAAGAGAGTTTTGGAGAACCCCTCTAGTTTTTGGAACTAAGCATTCAAATGATCTCATATCTTTTCCGTCGTCTTATACTCACTACAAGTCATAGCTAGACTAAGATTTAGAGAATTTAGCAAGTAATCCATACAAAATCTCCATCTTTGTTCCATTGATATTCATACACATTTTCAATGGTAGATGCAAAATCATTTAATATATTATGAAATATTTCATGTTCTTCCATGCCAAATTGAACATGTAATTTCCAACCATAAAATTTAATAACATCAAATGATTGCATTTTATAATATAAAAGGAACTACATTTAGCCATTTTAATCAGAGCTAAGAGTTAGAAAGAGTGCACTTTGTAGTTCTCAAACTTCACAAATTGAAACAAAGGCTCCAACTTTCATCAAATTGCTCTGTAGACTTGGAATTTGCTAAAACAGACCCCAAAAATAGATTCGGAGCGCCAAAAAACCTTAAGATAGACTACTCCGGTTGCCAGGAACTTACCGAAACATTCCCTTGTTATTGAAATATCCCCTAACAGAATATTTCCCAACTAACAAAATATTCCCTCAGAATATTCTTTTTCGTAGGAATATTCTTTTTGCATAAAAGTGTACTTAAGACTTCAAACGGCCATATCTCCTTCGTCCGATCTCCCTTTAAGGCAAGTGACCACTCAAAACGATCGTCTCAACGAGTAGAACAAAGCCCATTAGGTTTCACTTTCTGAAAATGGCCGAAATTTTCAGGATCTGAACCAAAAAGTTGCAGCTCCGGTTTCTTCAAACTCAGATCCTGGTAAATCCTTCTGTCGAATCGCAAAAGTGATTTAAAATATGAGTTCCACTCGATGTGATCTTCGAATAGACACCTTACTCGCTCAAATCCGACACACAAAGCTAATACTTCAAGATTGTTAGAGATTATAAGTTTGAGAGAGAAAGGTTTAGAGGTGCTTGAAGTATTACACCAAGAGACATCAAGTTTGGAATGCTCAACAGTGTTACCTCAAGTTTAGGAAACCCTAGATATAGTGGGCTCCAGTCCATATGAACCCAAATAACCATGCTTTCAACTATTGAACTTATATGCGAATATATTATTGGATTATATTATTAATATATCCAACAAAATGTTTTAGATTTTCTCATCTACATATGATCAAAGTAACAATGCTGACTCTACTAAAAAAAAAAGTAACAATGCTAAGTTGAAAAGGAGAAAAAAAAGTATAAGTCGGTCTCAAAAATTAAAATTAGTGAGACTCGATGGTTATTTTGTTTCTTTCTCTGTCATTGGATCAATTCCCTTTACGTTGGAATCAAAGATTAAACGATTCATTTAACGTGTCCAAATATCGGCGTAGCCCTTATTTAGTAATTAATTGCCAAATTTCTCTTGATTAGAAACTATTTCGAAAAATTAACCTTTCTAAAAAATATAACACCAATCTGCCTTTGTTTGATCGTTGACCATGAAGTCTACCCGGATATTTTTTTAAAATTTTACCCTACCCGGGTAGGGAGGGGAATACTCGGATATATTTCATAAATCTGAAAAAATGCTTGAATTATTTACCCAAGGAGGGGGTACCCGGGTAAATGTCGGCCAGAAACCCCAATATCAATGGGTTTCGGCCATTGTTGTGAGTCAAAGTTTTTTTTCCCCAAAATCTCTCTCCCTTGATATCTCTATTCCGAATCATGACACATATTTCATCTCATCATCTCAAAAAGCTTAAATTACGACACTGGGCTTTAGCATTGTGGTATCAACTTGCTCTTCTTTTTACAATTCAAAGTTGTCAAAATGCTAGTTGCCAGTATTTACCGGGTCCCTTTTGGCTGGTCCTCCTATATGGTGTTGATTTCCTTGAACTTTGGTAGTAATCCAATTCCTTGGAACACGTTTTCATTTAGAGTTTTGACTAATTGAAACCCATATCATAAAATGCTTTTGTAAAGAGAAACGAAATAGTAATCACATACTAATCGTGATAATTTTAGTTATATTTACAAGAAAACCTTGATCCCAGTTGTTTTCTGCATGCACCGTCATCCTTCTATAACAAAAGATTATATTAAAATTAGTTCAAAAAAATGATTCTATACCCAGAATACTATCTAAAAAAAAAATGATTTCAGTTTTTTTAAATATTTTTTTAAAAAAAATTTGTACTAAAAAAATGTTTAGTTTGTTAACCTCAAATCCATTTGCAGAAAACAAAAAAAAATGAAACCAAGTAGGAGCTTAAAAGATATAGCAGCCCACCTTGACAAATTAATCAATGAAGGGTGGAGTTGAAGAGTCCATAGTTTTTGCCACCTTTCATTGGTTCAAATGTTCCAGGATGGCCGCAATGAACATATAGTTGACGCATTCCTCAGTATTGAATGAGTGGCAAATCCATTTCATTATATGCCATTATGTTTTATATATTATACAATAATGTAAATTCTTGCACATTCTACAGGTGGCTGTGAAAAATATATTAAATTAAACTGTAACTGTAGCAATCATTTCATTTTCTTCATCTATTATCACCTTTCTATAAATAAACCAAAGCTTTGTGGTATCAATCAATAAGCCGAGCATCAGTTTTGTTATACCTGCATATATTCCATAGCATATCCATTAGGCAAAAGATGGCCTCTAACACAATCTTCAGTTCAGAATCAGATGAAGACACTTGGGTTATCCAAATCAATCAGTTGGTAAGTGAAACAAACCTAAAAATCCTGAACAAAATGCCCGTTTGCATTTACCAAGTTCCAAAATCTTTGAGTTGTGCCAAGCCAGAAGCTTTTACCCCACAAATTATAGCCATTGGTCCATATAACCATTTTCTTCCAGAGCTCTATCCCATGGAAAGGTTCAAAATTCTTGCAGCCAAAAGGGTCTTAGACCACTTCAACAAGCATGACCTCAAACAACTAGTTCAGCAACTCTACAACACAGGACCTTTTATCCGTGCTTGTTATCACAAATACTTGGACCTTAAAGACAATACCTTGTTATACACCATGGCCATTGACGTTTTGTTCTTACTCGATTTCTTTCAAAACTATCTCGACGAAAAAGTGTCTGGTTCTATCTTCACAGGAATAGAACAACAAGAAGTTCAGAGAAGTGGTGTGAAGCTTACCAAAGATGCCATCATAAGAGACCTTATCATGGTTGAGAACCAAATTCCAACCTACATGTTGATGAGGATTTTGTTGATTGAAAGCTCCAAACCTATTGATTCAGTTGAAGAACACTTGGGTTCAATGCTCTTGTCATTCTGTGAGAAACACTCTCCACTCAAGTTAACTCAAACCCCAACATGTTCTGAAGTTGTCACCAAGCATTACCATCTCTTGGATCTCATGTACCATTTGATGGTCTCTAAGGATGAAAAGTCAATAACACCACCAACATCTGAAAGCCAAGGTATGTGTATGCCCCATGGTAATGACTCTACCACTGGTGATCCTATATCAATGGGAAGTACAGAATCTGAAGGCATAGTCACATTCAAAAAGAAAGTTGATGTCCAACTAACATGGACACAAGGGGCTCTCAAAAGGCTTAAGGACATGAATCTTCCTTCCTTGCGCCCCATTAAAAAATACCTTGATGAAATACTCCGTATGTTAAACCTGCTTCAAAGTTATTCATCAGAAATTTCCCCTTCTGAAACAGAAGCTCCTGTGGTTGTCACCATTCCTTCTGTGTGTGAGCTTCATTCTGTTGGTATCATTTGTCAACCCTCCAAAGGTGGCATCATGGCAATTGAATTCGACGAGTTGAAGGGCATATTTTACCTCCCTTTGATCAAATTGGATGTAAACTCTGAAGTAATAATGAGAAATATAGTGGCTCATGAAGCCTTGACTGAACCAGATTTCCTCATATTCACAAGGTACACAGAGTTGATGCGTGCAATGATAGACACTGTGGAGGATGTTAAGCTGCTGAAGGATGCAGCCATCATAGAGTCAACAAGTTCCCTCAGTGTGGAAGAAACTCAGGAGCTTTTCAATGGGATGAGCAAATCCATTGGGCCTACTAGGACAGAGAAGTTGGATAACACCATTAAGAAGGTTAACAAGTACTTCTATGATAAAAGGAAGGGCAACCTTTATGGGGTCTTCACCAATTATGTGTACTCTTCCTGGAAGCCCTTCACATTTCTCGCCACCTTTGTGCTCTTGGCTATGACGGCTCTTCAATCATTTTGCTCGGTTTATGATTGTACCAGCCATTATAGACATAAATGATTTTTTTTTTTTTTTTTCATATCATCTTTCTTTTTACAGGTTGAGGTAAAAAAAGTTACAGAAAGTATACTTGAGAAAAAGCAAGTATACAGACCTCAGAGACAAATTTTGAATCATTGATTTGTTAAAAAAAAATTGGGAGGAAGAATGAAAATTTACAATTGATGGCAATGATATTGAGTCAATAAGGTGTCTGTAATTTATTTTATTTTTTTCATATATCAGCACTGAAAAAATTGTGTTATATGAAGCACCGACACTTCAAAAATCCTAACGTATCATGTCCGACACTTCCAGACACTTATCGACACTCCGACACTTCCCGACATTTCAATACTCGTTGTAAAGACTCAAAAAAAGTTCAAAGGTTACGTTGCATTGCATTTTGAGTTTCAACTATTAGATTCGTTAGATTACAATTACGATTTTATTGAGTTTAATATAAACATTTGAGATATATTATGTTTCTTTACAAAATTGATGGGTATTATAAGTTTAGCTTTATTTTTTTGTTAAATTATTGAATATTAAATATAATATACACTATATAAATTAAAAATATTATATAATATCAAAACATGTCCTAACGTGTCGAATATAAGAAGTTGGAATGGATTCTCTTATGTGACATGAACTCTTTGAAAACATCTCAGCATACAAATAAAGGATGAGTAGAGAATGCTTCAAGATAATAATAATAATAATAATAATAATAATAATAACAGTTCTTTTTTAATTAGCGGCTTAGATTTTTTATGTTACGGTTCTGGTTGTTTAGAGATAGGAATTGATATTGCAGAAATGAAGAATGAAATAAAAGAATGGAAATGGAAGGAAAAATCTGTTTATTGACAAGAAAATGTGTTCCCTTGTATTTATGTTTGTAACATTTTGCGAGACCTAATGTCACATGAGAGGATACATTTGCCATAGAAGTAGAGAAATTGAGAGCTACCCACGTAACCACTTTCCATACTATAACTATGAATTTGTATAGCACGTTCCTTCCTATAGTGTAGATTGAGTTTAAATACCAGTTAGTATTATTGGGTGGGGAATTAGTTCAGAAAAAACAGAGTGCGTTGAGTTGGTGAATTGGAGAGAAGGATGAATGTGGAGAGTAACAAAGAAGATGGAAGAACAACGGTTACTAAAATAAGTGATGAAAGGTTACTAAAGGATTGAGAGAGATGAGTAAGCAACCTGGTGGGCAACATGAATGAGAAGCGAGAATCATGCAAATTTGGTAAGGTGGCTGAAGGAAAGAGGTAGAACAAGGTTAAACCAGTCCAAAACTAATATTTATTAGAAAGGAAAAATGAGATCCTGTAACATAAAACCGAGTCTCTAAATTCTTAGTTAGAATAGAATGCATTTTCGCATATAATATGGTGTACTTTAGTATCTACATCTTTACATGTACATTTTGGTTTGCGGTTTTCTGCAGAATTTTCTTTGTAATAACACAATATATATAGAAAATGTAACCTAATGCAACATCAATTTCAAATGGAAATAATTCTACATTCATACATAATAGATTAGGTGCTATAGTCTATTGTCAATTCTACTTGAATTACTATACATCTCACTCTTCAGCAATCTTCTTAAATTTTTCTCTTAGTTCTGACCATTCAGAATTTATTCTTGTTTGTGTTTCCTTGGCCAAACCATGCTCGTGTTTCAAATGACGTTCTTTTTCCCTCAACTCATCTCGTTGAGTTTTAAATGTCTTTCCCTCCTCAAAAATCTCTCTCTTTTTCATAAGGGTCACATTTTTTCCTGATTGAAAGGCAGAAATGTTAGCTTTCATGACATTGATTTGCTCTTCTAGCCCCCTTTTGCTTTTCTCCATACAGGCTAACTTGTCAAGCAGCTCTTTTTCTAAGGCCACAACTTCTCTGAACTTTTTCTTATTACCTTCCAGACTTGTTTCTAATTCATCAGCTCTCTGCAACTCGGATGTTGTGAACTCAATTTTCATACTTGCTTCAGTGTAGTCCCTATACCAATGAGTTAAATCTCTTGAGGCTTCTGATATCAGTATTCTCATTTCTCTTGAAATACCATCCTCTGCACACAAATTGGAGAGGTAATCTAGCCTAGTTTTCATGACACTCCGGTGTTCAGGATGCAACAAAACTGAAGCATCCTTGGAGATAAAGTCTTGTACTATTTTCAAAGCTTCCCTTGCCTCTTCACTCAAAACAACAGGGGTTTTAGAATCAAGAGAAGCATAAAATGCTTCCATTTCTAAATCATCATCTTGAGTTAGTTCAGTTTGATTTATCAGAGATGCGTCAATTGTTGTTGGCAACATAGTGGAACTGGTTCCTAGGTGCAGTTCTGGTCTGAATTGGCCACTTGATGAAATCGGACTTTGGACCTGAATATTTTGTTGTGTATCAGGTGCCTCATACAGCAACATAAGCTGATTTCCCGTATCACTATTGCTGTAGCAGGAGTCATCCCATGTATTTGTGGGAGGATAAGGATTTGTGAATCGAACATCCTCCATCCCAGTCATTTCCCGGTCCACATAAACTCCTGTCATTTGATTGATCCTAAACAATCTGGATGGGGTCGTATCACAAATAAAAGCTCCACATGATTCCATTCATTATCTGAGAATACTTCTACTCCACCCCAATGTGGTTGATTGCTAAAGTTCTTGGCAGTAAATATGTGATCAGTCTCCAACCAGTCGTAAAAATACATACTATATGTTACAATATTATTGACTATAATAAGGAAATCAAAGAACAGAAAGAAAGGACGCTCAGTATCATCCCAAACTCCTAAAACAGCAGACACAATGATAGAGGGAAATTCCCTACGAAACCAGAAACGTAGAGAGTTTCCCTTGCTACTGTGGTCAAACCATTCTGGGATCCTTTGTCCTGGCAGAGCAGTCGAGACTTTTGACATAAAAGAATCAATTTCCTGTCAAACATGTCATTAAAAGCATGGTAAGTTTGGAAAACAACTTACTAATAACTCTTACAATCACAAAAAAGAGACCAACCTGGTTTAAAGTTAAACAATCAGCTTCCAATGACGTGCAGTTATCTGTCCATAAAAAACGTGTACTTGGTGGAAGCCCTATAATTTTTCGAAGCTCTTGGAATGAGACAAGTCTATGTTTTCCAAGAAGCGACATTCTTTAATGCATGCAGGAAGGGTTGCCAAATTTGAGTGTAGTAATTCCAACTTTTTCAAAAAGGGAAAGAAATTTGGCAACATTTGAAGGATATTTTAACTCATTAGTTTCAAGCATTTTGCATCTGCTCATGTTTAACCATTCAAGGCCTTTAATATTTTGCATTGAAAGTGGCAGATTTTTCAAGTCAGTTCCTTCCAAGTCAACAACTTTTAGTTTCTCCATTGGTCCTAATATTTCTGGAAAAACAACACCACTGCTGCAGTCCCGAAGACAAAGGTACTCTAGAGATGTCAACTTTATGCCACGTGGAATAATCCTCAGCTTGGTACACCCTTTAGCACTGAACCTTTGGAGACTATCAAGAAATCCAACAGAATCATGAATCTCAACCAAATTTGTGCAATCATCAACACACAACTCTGTCAAATTTGGGAAACCACACACATCTGGTACTTGTCTTATGTACTCACAACATGTGAAAATCAACTGTTGCAAAACCTTTGACTTCTGCAAAATAAAATCTAATTTAATAGTTTCAAGAGTTAAGAGTACTATGTTTATCCAGGAAAAAAGAATGTTACAACACTAATACATGCCTCTAGTGGTTTGTCCCATCGAAAGCAACTGTGTGACAAGTTGAGTATGACAAGGTTTTTTGAATGAAAATTAGATGGTAAAGAAGCTGCAGGAAATCCCCACCATTCCAGCACTCTCAAACTGTTTGGGAGATGTTTGGGGCTTATTAAACAAGTATTCCTTTTTATAAGCATCCTGAGGTTTTTCATCTTTCCAAACAATTCATCGTTCCATTGAACTTCTTTATCTTCCAGCATATCCAACATCATGGCTTCAATTTCATCCCTTTCCTTTTAAGCCAAAAGCAACCAGAAACCATAATTTATAACAACTACATCAGGAACTTCTTATAAGAATTTAGGGAAATTTACAAAATTTAAATGGTTGTATTGTTTCTTATTAATAAAGGCAAAGAATCATGAAATATAATACAGACTCAACTAATGATATAAAGAAAGAAAATGAATAACACAAGGTAGAGGACTGCTACATACCTTATTTTTCTCCAAAACGAAAATTATGTCTTCATAAAACCACAACCTTCTGCGCTTTTCAGGCCAAATTGATTGCTGTCTAACTATTTCTCTTCCCATATGTTGAATCAAGTCATGCACTGTCACGATGATGTCATATTCTACATATCCCCAATTATCAATAATGTTAATGAGAGATTTTTTTCCAGCACTCCAATACCATATTTTGGGTGAAAACCACGGGCTTGTAGCATATTTGTAACATATCTCACAGTGCAACCTTTGAAGAAGCAAGCTATGTCAAGAAAATTTCCTTCTCATTTTCCTCCAAGCCATCATAACTCACTTTAAGAATTTGCTGAACATCTCTATTTGGAATTCTTTCACACGCTTCTAATGCAGATTCCCATTCATCTAATGTTTTACCAAACAAGTTTGAGCCTATTGCTTCCAAAGCCAATGGAAGGCCACGGGCAAAATGTATTGCACGTTTCATCATTTCCATATAACTTGGATCAACTTCATTATTTTTTAAAGCATTCCACCTAAACAATTCAAAAGCTTCGTTATCACTAAAATTATTAACCTCATATATTTTTTTAACACCATGGAAATCTAACAAATGTTTATCCCTTGTTGTTATAATGATGATGCTACCAAATAGATTTTTCCAATACCAGCAGTTGCTTGTAATTGTTCTTCCTTTTTGTCTGTAAAGAACCTTGGGATACACCACCTCAAAAGATAGCTCAAGGGGTGGGAGTGCCCAAGGCCTTATAAACTCCACATTAGTTGTGCACATACAACCAATGTGGGACTATATATCTCAACACGCCCCCTCACACGAGAGCCCATCGGGCTTGAAGAGTGGACAATGCAACAGGCCCAGCCTACCTGTGCTAAGAAACGCCACAAGAGAAAGTGGGGGGCGGTGAGGCTCTGATACCATGTAAAGAACCTTGGGATACACCACCCCAAAAGCTAGCTCAAGGGGTGGGAGTGTCCAAAGCCTTATAAACTCCACATTAGTTGCACATACAACCAATGTGGGACTATATATCTCAACATTGTCAATATCATCAAGAATAAGAAGGACTTTCTTTAGTTTGAGTCTTTCTTTTAATATTGGAATTCCTTGATTTATATCTCCCAACCTGAGATTTCTCTCCCCAACTAGTTCAGAAAGTATTTTCTCTTGGATTTGTTCTAGGCCATGCCTAGTTGACTGTTCTCTAACATTAGCAAGAAAGCACGAGCCTTCAAATTGATATGCTAACAAATTATATACAGCACGTGCAATGGTTGATTTACCAATTCCGCCAATCCCATGAATCCCAAGCATGTTGACTTTGTCATTAAACTTAGAACCTATAAGCGAGTGCACATCTTCCACCCGAGCTTCCAATCCAACAGGGTAATTAGCAATATACAAGAGAGGTCGATTAAGCTTACGAGATATCACTTCTATAATCTTTCTAATGAACTCGTGCTCATATTCTCCCCTGCTGTTAGTTAAAGTGAAATTAAATTCATGTTAAATTTAATCCTCACAAGTAAGAACTTATTTAGTGTTTGTATACCTTTTAGCACATCAAAGTAATTAGTGTGGCATATAAAAAATTACTTTGGTAAACGGATTGTGTAGTATACTAAATTGATACATAATAACAAAAGGAAATGAAACATGAAACAATAAACTGAATTAGAAGCAACATGGAGAGGTGTGTTACCCATGTTTGAAGTGCGAACCAAACAAAACAGCTGCTTGATTCAAAGCCAACCTCCATTTTTGCAACTTCACTTTGTCATCCTTGAATCTTCCCCGTTCGTGCTTTGCGAATGCTTCTCCATAACTCCCTGTTTGATGTCGCACTTCTGATGGATCTACGTCATAGAAAACTGGCCAAATCCACATCTTTTGCTTTGTATAACACTCAAGGATCTGGACAAGCTCGTTCAAACAAAATGATGAGGATGCATAATTTTTAGAGAAAACAATGATGGCCATCCTGGACTTTTGTATTGCATGGAATAGAGAAGGTGTAATCTCTTCCCCCTTTTGAAGACCATCATCATCTATGAAGGTCAAGACTCCCCTTTGACTCAAAGCACTATAAAGATTGCCAGTAAAATCAGTGCGAGTATCTTCACCACGGAAACTAAGAAAGACATCATATTCATAGGTGTATGTGTAGGCAAAAGGAGAAGATGGTGCGGGTTGCGCCATCATAATCAAATCAACCTTGCTAGACACTATGGATACAGAAGCCAGAAGGATATTCTATTTAGAGTGATATAAAGGGAAGGGTGCACACCTTAAGATTGACCAATTCATGACATTCACACCATCTGTTTACTTTGTAGCCGCCAGAAACAACATGGAAGCTACCAAGTTCATTATTCTAATATAATAGGGCAAATTACATTGAACCACCATTTACTTAGGGTCATTTTCAATAAAAAAAACAACCGTACACTTTCAATTCAAACAATTAACCCCCTTTCACTTATCAAATTATTACATCTCCAAACAGTATACAGCATATGATATTAATTAAATTAATAAACTAGATATTTAATTAACAGGTTGTGAGTTTGCAATTGTTTAAGAACTTGTGGATTTTGCAGATAACTCTTTATTGAAACGCGAAAGGTATGCGGATGGGATTAATAATTCAATCAAAAAAAAGTCTCATACAATATATAATGATCTGGACCTAGAATTTGAATGAGATCCAGTAACTAGCAATGGAGTTTCTAAATTAATAATTAATTTATAACTAATTTTTTATCTCATATAATAGCCATTAACATAAACTAACGAAGCCATCCAAATCCAGAAAGTCAAAGACATCCAAATCCATGTTGTGTAGCTTACATTATACCTAAAATACCGAAACTAAAAAAGTTCAAATCCAAGATCTGTAGCTCAAGTTATAGGCTACAAAGCAAACTATGCTCTAGCTTTGACAGAATTAACAAGTGTGAGATGGAGGAACTTGGTGTTACAAATGAGAAAAAGAAAAAGAAAAAGAAGAACCAAATTATGATAACTCAGTTGGTGTAAGGTGTTAAATCCTCTCCAGTATTATTTATGGAGGAGTTTAAAATTTTAATCCTTAGATCTGTCCTGAATCAGACTAGTGGCGAAATAATAACCGATTGGAATATCTTGAAAAAAAGAAAAAGAAGAAGAACAGATTCGCAAGTGCTATTCTAAAATATTTCAATTTTTACAACACCTGATTCTCATCTTCTTTTTGTCGAATGGACATAGATAGGGTAATAAGGTAGCATCTCTTAAATCAATGGAGATCTTGAGATGCATACCATGCACAATACTTCTAGGCGAGAGAAAAAAATAATAATGCGCCTCACAATTATGAGAAAGCTACACAAATTTTAGTTTTATGGTCCCACAAGAAAGATATGTAGATATTAGGATAAAGGTGGATTTGTCATCAGCCCATACATACATTCTCGAGAGGGGTTTTCACCCAAATTTGGGTCGTGACAGGCAGTGTCTCTTCTTCAATTCATCTTCTCATTTGTTTTACTTCCCCTTTTTCTATCAATGTACTGCAGTTTCTATGTAAATAAACGGTCGCAAGTCCATTTATCACCAAGTTTTAGATAACAATTATATGTTTTCATTACAAGATCTGGCTCCAGCCATTTTAAGGAGGGTAAGAGAATCTAAGTCCTCATTGGGCTGCAAAAGTAGCAGCACACTGATTTTATTCTGCCTAGAACTAAAATTAACATTCCACTTTATTCTTAAATTGCTAAGGTTGTGCTTAACATTGACCTATACTTTACGGCTTCAATCTACAACCTGCTTACAATCTGGGAATGTGATCTATCAGGAAATTGCAGACTCTCCCATTCCTCGTCGTTGACATTTCTGAAGTATTGATCCACCATTTCTTCATTAACGAGCTCTAGCTTTGAAGGCTCCCACTAGTTATCAGAAATAAGAAAAGCAAAATCATAGGTTGAAAAGAAATGTTAACGCAGTTATCAATATGCATATTAGAGGTATTATCGTTTACCTTGGGTTTGTTGTCTTTGTCGAACAACTTTGCTCTTGAACCCTGTGCACACGCGTAGTAAGTTTAAATAAAGGCATTTATATTTTTTTGTACATAATAAAGTAAATTATAAGTCGCAAAACTAATAAATAATCTCATTTCCAAGAAATTAGAAGTTCATGACAATTTTGATTTGAATTTTTTTTCATATTCACTATTTTTTTATTTTTTTGGTTGGGGGTGTGGTGGTTTAATTATCTTTCTTAAATAGAGTTGGAGGAATATATTTCACATATTCCATCAGACAAAATTATCTGATTCATACATAAAAAAGTGAGCAAGATCTACAAATTAAAGAGAAAAGAGGGCAAGAAAAAAGTAAATCTCATCCATTTTTTTATGTATATATTTAACAAAATAAAAATGTATTGTTCAGATTTATCCAAAAATTTACCTCATAGAAATCGTTGGTAATAGTCCTTCTAAAGAAGTGGCAAGCAATGTTGTAATCCCGGTAAAGACATTGTTCAATGTTTTGTGCCCTGCCTTTTCTGATCTAATAGGTATCAAATTCATAAATTTCAGTTATTTAATAGCAATGCGAGTTAGTAATTTGCAGAATGATATATTTAATTTTATTTCTTTTCGCTTTATATATACTTACTGATTTAAGAAAAATCTTGAGGCTCGTTGGACAAGATGAACGCAAGTAGCTTAATGCATCTGTGATCCACAATTCTGCTCCAATTTCTAATTCATTTTCCTATAAATTATAACCGTTAATCAATATTCGATCCAAAGTATTCAGCATATATAATTGTAGGAAGATACATACTGCTTATACATTTTCTTACCAAGGATTGAATTATTTCCTCCACCGTCCCTTTTGAGAAACATTTGTTTATTGTCTCCAATCTTTTGTTTTTTTGTGTAAAATGTTAGTCGTCTGTCTCAATACTAGAGATTTGAAAGAATGATCATAGTTTCTCATAAAAGTTACCTTCTAAAGGAGCTTTCTTCCTTTGCATTAGCTTTCTCTGTGAAAGTTTCTATCATTGTGGCAATTGTTGACACATTTGAAGAAGTAACAGCTTCTAGGGCATTTTCCAGTGAATTTAGCTTCTTTTACACAGATAAAAACTAATGTAACTGAGTACTATAATATTTCAAAATTTTATAACTAAATATATTATGGCAGGTGCCATCTCATTTTGGAAATCTTTCAAATAAGAATTTATTATGGAAGAATATCAATTAAGAGAGAAGTGCTGAGTATAGTTTCACCGTGGATGTGACAAAGTGAGTGGCTAAACCACATTCTGCAATTTCTGCTCCCTTCAGACGAGCTCCAGTCAGCCCCAAGTATTCCCCTGCATATAATTACACAAAGGAGACAGAGTTTTAAATTACTCAATCGACGATAGTTATAGTTATAAAATCTAAAAAGAGGATAAATGTGTACTCTTCGTAACAGAAATTCTTTTGTTGGTATATTAAATAAGAGAAAAGGTTATACTTACAACTTATTTTTATTTACAACCTCTTACAATCATATCTTAATCGTTGGTTTTCGTCAATCAACGGTTATTATTTATTGTGAATTAATAATTAATTAATGAATTTCATTTGCGAAAATAATAACCATTGATTAACGAAAATCAACGGTTAAGATATGGTTGTAAGATGTTGTAAATGAAAATAGGTTGTAAGTATAATCTTCCTTATTAAATAAACTTAAGAACCTTTTAGTAAAAAAAGTAATTTTCAAATATCAGTTTCATCACGTGTGACAAATATATTTTAAGGGAAAAGTATTTCTCTTGTAACATGAGATAAAATTATTTCTTTCAATCCAAAAAATGACGTCATTTTGGATTTAGAAAAAAAATGTAGAGTATTTTTTGATTTTTTATTTTTCTTATGTATTATTAATTTTATTAAAATATCCTATATTTTTGGGGGGGAAAGTATCTAATTTTATTTTAGACAATTTTGTTCAATATTCACCGAAACGACATCGTTTTGAATTGAAAAACTAAAAAATTAGAATGATAAAGACTATAAGCCTGAAATAAATTAAAATTACAAATACACCGTGATTTCTGCCCCAACATTAGACAAAGTTATTTAAAGTAACTTTAGAAAAAATGAACTCATATTTTTTATCCTAAATCCTAAAATGACATACTTTGGCTAAGGGTTTGGTCCATACCCCTCAAGGGCGTGGGTTCAAACCCCGCTGGCCGATGTGAAGACCTTGTTGGTGGGTGATATATAATCCTTCCCAGAAATTCTCAAAGGGGTTGAGGGGTCTTCCCTGACCCTAGGGGATACTGGTGTCTAACCCCACTTAAACTTTTCTTGTATTAAAAAAATGACATACTTTTGGGGCTGCAATAGATAACTTTATCTCCTGTTGCACGAAAAACGTTAATCGCTCAAGAAAATCTTCTTTCAACTTAATTCCTTACTAAATTTTTTTCATAAGGAATTTTCTTTAAAATTCAAAGGAAAAAATGACATATATACTTTTAGATTGCTTAATTAAGAGCCTGTTTGGTACTCTCTCTTTTTAAGTTTAAGTTAAAGTCAATAAAAAATAGCTTAAAAAATAAAGTTAAAAGTTGTTAGATAATTGTATAAAGTTGTTTTTAGGGTTTTGAAACAAGAGAAATGAAATGATTTGTAAATTATAACTGTAAATGATGAATTCATAAATAAAAGTTTAGAATTAAGGTATAATTGAAAAATAAATATGAAAATTCCAAAATGCTGACATACATCTTAAAAAAAAACTCCTCTGTAGAGCTTTTAGCTTTTAGTTTTTTTCTTCGTTATGAAAAAAACTCTTTTTAAAATAAAAACTTTTGTAAATTATATTTGACTTAACTTCTACTTATAAAGAGAAGATAAACTAAAAAAAATAATTCTCAGCAATATTAGTGTAGGTGGTGAAATACTTTTGTGATACTGACTTCTTGTCATGTATTGGGAGTGAACTATGTACTGCACTAGGAGCCCAATAGTGCAGTCCACTACAAAACTGTTTTGCAATTAGTTACAGTTATTTCTAGATTTATGAAATGAAAAATAGGTCTGCACTAGATAATACTTTTAAAGTACATAAATATCTAAATTAAACTTATTAATCTTTACTCTGTTTTGTATTTTTCGTGAGAAACTTCAAATAACTACCTTAAAGCATAGCTATTTATTTAGAGCTGTAATTCTATGAATTTTATTTCAGACTTATGTAAATTACAACAAAACACATATAATGGTATAAACAAGAAAAACATGTAATCTAATTACCAAAATAGCCAGGAAGCCTAGAAAGAAAGTAGCTTGCACCCACATCTGAAAAAAGTCCTATAGATGCCTCTGGCATTGCAAATACCTACAAATAATCCATAACATTAAACAAATTAATATCGATTAATTGTTTCAGACAGTCAATAAATTTTGGGAACAATTGTAGAGTCCATTAAACATTCATTTATTTTCAAGATATAGGAGACATTCACAACTCCTCATCAAGGATATATCCTAAAGATAATACAGTGTAGACAATATTTGTCATTTAAAATTTTAAATACATAGTAAGTGTTTAGTGATTTAGAGTTTGATTGTTATTACCCTTATTCTTCAAAATGAAATAAAAAAATAATTTCAACACAAGATAGATTTTCGGCCATGAAACTTTCACCATGGGTCCATCCATTGTAAAGGCAAATCCAAATTAAAAGCCTCTTGCATGAGGTGATGTATTAGATATGGTATAAAATATGTAAGTAATATAATAAAATCATAGCTTTCTAACTAATTTAATACTAAAAGGGAAACATTTTCCCTCATTGATTCAAAAGCCAAACAATTTGTCAAAATAATGTGGTGAGACCCCGCATTAGATGTGTGCATGTTTAAGTCGTGTAACACCCTCATGCGCAATTTGTGCAAACGATAATCTGTGCCCGCTAGGGGTGTGCATGGGTTAGGTCGGGTCAGATTTTTGTCCCGACTCGACTCAACTTAGTTTTTATAGGTCAGGTATTTTGACCCGACCCACTTTAATTTGATCCAAGTCAGGTTTGACTTGGTTTGAATTTTTTTGAACTAGTTCCGAACCGGATCGGATCTGACCTGACTTGGTTTCTGAAGTGAGTCTGACTTGGTTTCTGAAGTGGGTCAAATTCAACCTGACCCGTTTTTTGACTTGGTTTCAAAACATGTTTTTAATTTGATTTTTTTTATAGTTATTGATTTATTATTTAAACTCATGAAATTTTCTACGTTGCAAACGACGAAAATTTCGTTACAAAATTATTTTTTCGTCGAAATACTTTTTTGTCGAAAAGCGACGGAATTTTTTCTCTAATGAAAATTTTTACAAAAATAAATTTTCTATCGAAATTTAGTTTCCGTCAAAAGTTGTGATGAAAATGATTTACTCCATCAAATGTTTTAAACGAAAAAAGAATTCCGTCAAAAATTTTGACAGAATGTTTTTCGTTCAAAATTTCGATGAGAATGTGTTATGACGAAAATTTCGACGGAAATTGTTTTGAGAGAAATATTTCACATGAAACTTTCGACGAAATTTGGATTCTTTAAAAAAATTTGACAGAATATTTTTTCCGTCAAAATTTTTTATCGAAATATTTTTTGTCAATAGAAATGTGCTCCGTTGAAAATTTTGATGAAAATGTTTTTATCAAAAAACTTGACGAAAATATTTAGTCGAAAATTTTCGATGAAAATGTGTTTTGCTAAAAATTTCGACGAAATTTTCTTTTTGTCAAAAAGTTTAACGAAAATGTTTCCGTCGAAAACTTTCGCTGAAATTTGAATTCTATAAAGAATTTTGATGAACATTTTTTCCGTCAAAAAATTTCGATGAAAATATGTTTCGTTGAAATTTTTGATGAATATGTTTTTTTGTGAAATATTTTGACGAAATTTAGATTCTGTAAAAAAGTTTGACAAAAATTTTTTTCCGTCAACTTTTTTTACAGAAATGTTTTTAGTCACAAATTTTGATTAAAATATTTTTCGTAAAAAATTTTGACGTATTTTTTTTACGTTAAAACTTTTCTTTTAATGTAATTGTGATTATTTTTCTTTCTTTTTTTACATAATGGGTATGGGTCAAGTTTTGGGTCAATGAGTCATTATTAAAACAAGTCAGGTCTAAAACTGACCCAAATAAAATTGGGTCAGTATTCAAACCCAGTTAAAAAAAAATAGGTATTTATAGGTCAAGTCAAGGTCAGATCAAGGGCAGGGCGAGTGAACCAATTTTTTTGCACACCCCTAGTGCCCGCCATGTGTCACATTTTGCAAGATGTGATGTGATAATATGCACCCTCACCCTCACCCTCATGCGTATCATGCTTGTGCCCATTCAAGTCGCATACACTATCTATGTGCATCTTGCAAGACGCGATGTGACAAGCGCCCTACTTTCTGCACAAATTATGCATGTGTGATGCACAACTTGAACGTACACACTTCTTATATATGTCTCATCGCATTATTTTGACAAATTATTTGACTTTTGAATCAACTAGAGAAAATGTTTCCCTTTTAGCATCATTATTATTCAAAAGCCATTTGTAAATTTTTGAAATAATTGATTTTTTTATACAGTGAACTGAAATACTTCGAAATACACTCTTCGACTAATGTAAGTAATCACCCGGAGTTCTAATTCTAATTTCAAAGGGAAAATTAGAGAAGCATACAGCTTTTTCAGTCACAATCCTGAATCTCGTATTCATGGACAGACCTGCTCCTCCTCCCATGACTACTCCATTGATGAGAGAGACCTGATTCCACAACCGTTGAAACAAAGTAACTCAAATGTATTGTAATATGAATCAAAATAAAATTGAAACTTAAACCAACTTACCGTAGGCTTTTTGTAGGACGCAATCAAATGGTCCAAAATAAGTTGTTTCTTGTAAAAGCTTGCAGGATAGGTCCAGTGTCCTGGTTTCATTCAGGAGAGCCACATATGTAGTTAAATCAGAGGGATTTCGTTTCTTTATATAACAACATAATCTCAAAATCACTTGTAACACAACAACAAAACCATTTATCTAATTTGAGAGTCCTCTTGCTTTTTTGGATAATGTACCTGCAAGTCCAGACGTAATTACTGATACAACATCACCGCCAGCACAAAAAGCTTTTCCGTTACCCTAGTTAGCATCGAAAAAAAAGAAAGTATAATTACTATTTTGATGAGATAAAAACTAATCATTCATTAATTCATATGATGTTAAATAATAAATATCTAACTAAATAAGCAGCCAAATTCAGCCAAAAAATCCTAAATAAGCAGCTCAAAATTTTTTTTAACAAAATAAGAAACAACAAATTTAGTTTGATATGACCCAATGATCAACCCAATAAGATTATTAAAAATCTTCCATTGGTGCTTTACCTTCAATATCACAAGTTTGACCGAAGAGTCATTCTCACACAACTCTAAATTCTTTTTGAGCTGACAAATCTGCAAAGTAGTAAAAGAAGCCATTACCATTCCGTTATTGTTACAATGTGATGCACATTTTTAGATTTATCTAGAATTAAATAATACAAGAATTTTATAGACTAATCTAGGATGACTTAGCCACTTAAGTGTTAAGGAAGCATGTGTGTGTGGGGGGTGGGGGGGAATGAGGGCGTTTGGTAGAGGAGAAAAATTTTTTTGCCCGAAAATCTTGATTTTCAAAAATATAATTTTTACATTCAGTTTACGATAATATTCAAAAATTTAAAATTTAAAAAAAATCAATTTCCCGGAAATCTTAACAAAAGCCATGTACCAAACGGCTTAGAGTAAAAACTCTTGACCACATTGGGGTAGAGAGTCCAATAAATACACTCAAAACCATGTATTGGAACCAGTGTTTAAAAACCCGGCCCGGCCATCGACCCGGCCGAGATCAGGGGTCACGGGGTCACAGGTTCAACCGGGGGGTCACGGGGTCACTATGCTGACCCGGTTTTATATATTAAAAAAATATAAATATATATATCTTATATGAAAATATTAAAAAACAAACCATCAATCCCAAAGATTTAAAATATACTTAACATAATTCACCAATTACAACCACAAGTCAATATTACACAATCTAATTAAAGTATCAAAATACCAAAGTACAAAATTCATATTCTAATGGGGTCACTACACTGACCTGGTTCTGCCTCTTTTGAGAAGATCTCTGACAAAAGAAAATTTAAAGGAAGTAAGAATGAGTTTTGTTTTCCATCGACGATCGTAAGGATTTCATTTGAATGAGTAAAATTCTTATCTTTTCTAGAAGATTCACGGCAGCGAGATGAAGATTGAAAACGTCTAGGTCACTAGGAGAGAAGAGAACGATTAGATTTAGGTTTGCAAGCATTTTTATTTTATTTTTTTAATAAAACAATGTTCTTTCATGGAATACTTTAAAAAAAAAAACATGCAATGACCCCCTTTGACCCCTATGACCCGGGAGTCACTGAAATCCGGCCGAATTTTGGAGGTCAGAGGGGTCGATATGCATATAGGGTCCAACTTGTGACCCCAACCCTCAGAAAAGAGGGGTCAGGGTTTACCCGGGTCAACCCGGGGGTGGGGCGGAGTTTTAAAACACTGATTGGAATTACTTCACTACTTATCTAAGAGCCCGTTTGGATGAGCTTTTTTTTCTTCAAAAGCTGCTTTTTTTAAGAAAAAAAAGCACTTCTCGAAAAAAGTCTGTTTGGATGCTTGCTTTTAAAAAAAGCAGAAGTCATAAAAAAAGCCAAAAAATTACTTTTTTCGGAAGCTAAAAATTTTAGCTTCTCAAAAAAGCAGAAGTCAAAAGTCAAATATTTTTTTCAAAAATCAAATATTTTTTTAAAAATCTAAATAGCTGTAACTTTTATAAAAAGTACTTTTAAAATAAGGAAGTGATAAAAAGAACTTTTAAAAAAAGTGATTACAAACGGGCCTTAAGTCTCCACCTTTTGCATATTATATATCCCGTTAATTTCATTCTTAGTCAAACTATTACTTTTCTTATCCTTCGAAACAAAACACACTTTCAACCAATATTCACACAACTACCATTATTGCCTTAGAGAGTACTGTTCGACCAACACTAGCGTCTGCCATAGCTGACTCCTTCCACTCATCCATTTGGGTTATCAAAATAAGCATCTATTTCCGTGCTCAAGATTTGTGGGATATAATCACAGAGAGATATATAGTTCCCCAAAGATATATCCACTTTATATGCAACACAAAGAAAGGAATTTTACGTAGGAATTGTATTGGAAATTTTATTGGGTGTAATCTTAACCTCTAGAAAATCCTAGGTTAATTATATATGAATATTGTTGGGAATTTTGTTGGGTTTACTCTTAATCTCTAGAAACTCATAGGATAATTATATATGAATTTTCTTGGATATAATTCTAATTCCTTAATGATAGTAGGTTGAGGTGTTAGTTGATTATGTGTGCAATGAATCTTACCTTTGATACATGCAGAATAATTGATTATGTGTGGTATGAATTTTACCTCTGATGTGATGTTGGATAATTGATTATGTGTGATATGAATATTACATTTGATAAATGTTGGATAATTAATGTGAAAATTATGATACTTTTTGAGGAAATTTTTCAAGTAATAGGTTTGTGACAATTGGATTTCCCTAATTGTATGGAATAAGATAATAGTGAGAAGATAGCTTTTAGGATGATACCTCCTGAAAGTGATGAACACAAACTTTTAGTTTTTATGCCTATGATATTATATGATGTGAAAATGATGTTTATCTGTTCTTCCCAAAGTGGTACCCAGCAATAGGGTTTCCCGAGGTACTAGTAGCAATTTTTGAGGAGAGGTGTACACACTAGGATTTGATGTTTTGATAATGGCCAAATTTGATTATAGGGTCACATTGGTTGGCTGGCAACAGAGTTTTCTAGGTCTAAATGGTTCTCTTCCTACTAAATGAACTAAATGAAACAAAATAAAATTAATAACGAAAATGAAATATCTTGATTGATGCCTGAGTTGATTATGATGATTGATTGAGTTATGATTATCCTTAATGAAATATCTTGATTGATGCTTGAGTTGATTATGATGATTGAGTTATGATTATCGTAATTGTGTTTTGGATTGGGATTACAAGCTTTTTATTGACATTCTGTGTTTGTGTTTGTATATTGCAATGATCATTCAGGGGAGAAGATACGCTTAGTGAAGCAAGTTTTGAAGGTTGGGGCTAGCAGTAGGCAGTGAGGAATGTCTCGTACATCTCAAGCTAGGCTTAAAAGAATTAATAATTGCATAAGAAATATTTTAAGTTAAACCTTAGACTGTGGTTTTATATTTTGAAGTTTTAAATATTTACATTGAATAAAATATTGGTATAAGAGTATGATAAAGTTTGCTTGCACGTGTCCCTGTTATAGGTGCAACGGTAACATTCTCCCAAATTGGCTTTAGTTTAGTTTTCACAATATTAATGAGTTCTTGACAAATAATTAAATGTGAATTTTTGTCAATTTCTCTATTACTGGAATATTTTTTTAAAAATTGTTAGAGATTTGGAGGTGTTACATAACTCAACAATTGGCAGCCTTCACCAAACAACTCACAACGTCCTAGATAGTTACAGTTAATATCCTCCAGTCTGTGATATGTGTGGGGGTAATATCATGCCAATGGTGATTGTGTTGAATATCATAGATACAAGAGGAAATGATAGTAATCATTGTTGTATTAAACTACACAACATTGGTGCTATTATATAGCAAACCAATTGAAGAATACAAAGAGACACACTCAATGTGGGACTTCTACACTATTAACACTAACATTCTTAACACTCCCCTTCAAGCTGTAGCATATAGATCATATGCTACAAGCTTGATACATAAATAATACTCCCATTAGGAACCAAAAACAACAATGCTACATCAACAAAATGAAATGACTAAGTACAACAAATCAACTGGAATGACCATCAGTCTGAAGAGCTGATAAAGAGACAGTGCTGGAATGGACATCAGAGCCTGGATGGTGCCGGAATTATCATCGACAAAGACAACTGAGCTGACCAGGACATCAGCATCAAGATCCCTCTCAGACATTTCATTTAACAGTTGGTGAGCAGCAGTGGTTTCCCCTTGACTATGCTACAAGCTTATTACAAGAAAGACCAAGTAACATAACATCAAAATAAATCTCCTAAATGAAAAACCAAAAATCAACAATGTGCTAAAAATGGCGTCGAAATGAACATCAACATGGAAGATGCCGAAATGATCGTCGACAAAGACAATTGTGCTGGAATGACCATCAGCAACATGGACGGTGCTCCCCCTCAAGATGGATGATGAATAGTACAAATACTCCATCTTGGGAAGAAAGAAGATTAAAGAAAAACAAAGCTTCGCGGAATCGAAAAAGTCGCCGGAGATGGTGGTGGATCGCCGAAAAAGTCACCGAAAAGTCATCGGAAAAGTCACCGGAAAAGTCGCCAGAGACGGCTGTAAACGGTGGACGACGCGGTCAACGGTGGTCGGTCAACGACAACGGTGGTCAACCCAACAACTTCCCAAGGATCATTCTTTTCTGATGTGACAGATCAGTCTAAGCTGCAGTCACAGAGCATACTAAGAAAAACCCGAAAAAGAAATAGCAACGGGAATCTCTCAAGGAGGGTGATATCTCTCTATAACCATATTGAAATTATGGAAAATAGAACTAAGTTAAACGGATTAAGATTCCTCTTGTTAGGCTCTGATACCATGTTGAATATCATAGATACAAGAGGAAATGATAATAATCCTTCTTGTATTAAACTACACAACATTGGTGCTATTATATAGCAAACCAATTGAAGAATACAAAGAGACACACTCAATGTGGGACTTCTACACTATTAACACTAACACTCTTAACAGATTGTGACATTTTCAGAGCATCAGAGCAAGGTCAAGTCAATTATATGGGGAATGCTCCAAGAAATCAAAACAACCCTTATAGTAACACGTACATACAATCTCAGGTGGAAGAATCAGCCAAATTTTTCTTACAAGCCACAGGCCCAACAAATACAACAAGGATCTTCCTACTCTATCTTAGAAAATGCACTCTTGCAACTGACCCAAGAAAGACAAAGAACTTTATGCAAGAGACTCAATCCTTATTCCTAAACCAAATAGCATCTTTGAGAAATATTAAGAACTAGATTGGGAAACTGGCTAAGTAGATGACTGAGCATACTTAGGGGATATTCCCAGGTGACACTGTGGTCAACCCAGATGAGCATTGCCATGTTATCACTACCATAAATGGCAAGGTAATAACTCCTCAACCTAGCCATAATGTGAAAAAAATTCAAGTGTCTGCAAAGAGAAAGTCTAAGGGGATGAACAAGTAGAAAATAAGGCTAAGGATGCCAAAAGAATAGGAGATTTTGAGAAGTAAAGTAAAAAGGATAAAAGTGTTACTGAGCAAAAATCTGAAGAGATCAATCCATTTTTTCGAGCACAATATCTGCAAAGGATCAAACAACAACAGTAAAGGAGGCAGTTTTCCAAATTTCCAGATATCATTAAGAAATTTCACTTTAACATTCCTTTTGTAGAAGCTTTGGAGCAAATGGCTTCATATGCTAAGTTTCTGAAGGAGATCCTATCATGTAAGCAAAATCTCATGAAAGATGAAGCATGGCGCTAACAAGGAGTGTAGTGCAATTATACAAAGGAAGTTTTCTCCAAAATTAAAAGATCTTGGTAGTTTTAGTATTCCCTGCATAATTAGCAAGACAATCATTGACAAAAGTCTTATGTGATCTTGGTGCCAACATCAATGTAATTCCATAAGATGAAGAAGCTAGGAATTAAGGAGGTAAAACCAACTAGGTTGATACTACAACTGGAGGACCGCTCCACAAAGCAAGTTCATGACATTGTACAGGATACACTCATCAAGTTATATAAGTTCATTATTCATGCTGAATTTGTTATCCTTGATATAGATGAAGATGTCATTGTTCCTATAATCTTTAGAAGGCCCTTCTTAACAACCACTGGAGAGCTAATTGATGTACCTAAAGGTGAGTTAATATAATTAATCATATGGAGGTGGGGAGTCCTATTAATACCCCTACAACGCGTATTAGAAGTCAAGTAAGAAAATAAGTTCATTACTTCACTGAGTTTCCACCTGTTGCGCACTATCTATCTCATTATTATTTGATTCTTATGCAAACTACTATCTTTCTTATCCTTCAAAACAAAGGGTATGTTTGAATGTTTTTTTTTTTTTAAAAAAAAAACTGTTTTGAATATAAATTTTGAAAACTTATTTTGAGAGTAAGAGAATAATAAAATTTGTTTGAGTATAGTTAAATTTAAAGTTATAAAGAAGTTATAATTACTTACAAAAATATCATTAGTGAAGTTTCATAATTACAAGAATGTTACCGTAAAGTGATTTAAAATTAAAAATAAATTTATTTATTTACAAAATGTCATTAATGAATCTTCATATTTACAAAATTTCCACTGCAAAACCAAAAAACAATTTTTAAGAACATCTCTAAGTTATTCTACTTTTTTAGTTTTAAAACTATAAAAAAAAAAAAACAATCATTATTTTAGGAATTATTTTTCAAAACAACCATTTTCAAATAGGCTTTTTTTGCTTTTTTGTTATAAAAACTCAGAATAGAAATCAAATAGGCCCAAAAACACCTTCAACCAATATTCACCCAACTACCATCACAGCATCACTTATAACTAAATAATTGTGTTTTTCATTTAATTTTCTTAAAATGAAATCAATGTTAACTTCGATAGATCCTTGATCGCTCATCCCTTCAGCTAGCATATATGGAAAGGGATATCCTTTAATAATTACACTACTTGAGTCATCAACAGTGAGCCATTAATCTTACTACGACCTTGTAAATATAAACAGAAGACTCTAATATAGTAAATTACTTAAAGATATAAGAGTTGATTTTTGAACTTACCATTTCATGGTTAAGGCTATTTAGCTTTTGAGGTCTGTTTAGTGTGACTACCTTCACACAAGAGTTTCCTGTGACAAGTACCTGTAAGTAGGCATCGTCATGCAATCATGGAAGAGGCGAAAAGCTTGATGTAATTAATTTGATAAATAGTGATAAGATTTAGGGTCCGTTTGAATGGACTTTTTTTTTTCTAAAACTATTTTTTTGCAGAAAAAAAAGCACTTCTCACTTTAAATTCATTTGAATGTCTGCTTTGAAAAAAATAGAAGTCATAAAAAAGTTAAAAATCTACTTTTTTATGAAAAAAAATTTAGCTTCTAAAAAAAGCAGAAGTCAAAAGTCAAATATTTTTTTTGAAAATTAAGTATTTTTATAAAAATATAAATAACTTTAACTTTTATAAAAATATTTCTAAAATAAAAAAGAGATAGAAATTATCTTTTTTATAAGTGGAAACAAACGAGCTCTTAATTCTTTTAACCAGATTGACTGTGGAGTTCTGTTCTCTTTAATGTACGTTAGAGCTAAATGCTAAAATTTTAAGTTGGCAGTCTTTGCTTGAGAATCTTGTCTGAGATTGGTTTCTCATCATAGAATAAATTATTTAATCAAAAAATGACTGAATTGACTGTATAGTAGATGTTAGTTTAAGCAAGAAAATTGTAACTTTTTTTTTTTGGAAAAAACTTAGAGAAAATTTATTAGTTGTTTGTGGTATTTTTCTAAGAGGTAAATTATACTTACAATCTTTTTTTTTACAACCTCTTACAATTATATCTTAACACCGTTGATTTTCGCCAATCAGCGGTTATTATTTATTGTGAATTAATAATTAATTAATGAGTTTAATTTGCAAAAATCATAACCGTTGATTGACATAAATCAATGGTGTTAAGATAGGATTGTAAGAGGTTGTAAAAAAAAAGTTGTAACTATAACCTTATTCTTTTTCTTCTTTTTCTAAAATTAAGTTATAACATGTATCTGTTTACCAAAAAAAAAAAACATTATAACATGTATATATTATTTTTTTAGTCATCTCATCCGATCCCTTTAATTTATTTATTTATTTATTTTTTTGTAAAAAATAATATGCATGCTTTATTTTTAATAGAAAAAACATCATATGCTTTGTCCTTTCACTTATTATTATATTCTACTAACCTCTTTTTTTAATACAATGATGGCAGTGACATCCAAAGCTATAATTTCATGCAAACTATACGAAACCCTTATCATTTATAAAATTTTAATTGTTTCCTCTTTTTTTTGAGATATATTCTAATCAGTTCATCACTTTGTAACTAGTCCAATTCGAAACGAGAATCAGAATTAAGGCTTTAAACTCGTTAAAACGGTACTTTAATTTGTTTCTACTAAGCTAATTCTAGTTTTAGAGATTCTTTTATTCTCTTCTTATATTTACGTTTCATCTTCTAATATAAAGGCTTTTAAGATTGTTTTTAAATTTTTAATTTTTTTTAATTTTTTGATTTGGATTAATATTGTTTTTAAAATTTTCATTTTTTATTTTTTAAAAATTATCAGTTTATTCATATTTCAAAATTTTTAGCTCGATTTTTTCTGTCTGATTAGATTGGTTCTATTTTAAAAGCTTTTATTTAACAATAGGGATGTGCACGGTTATGTCCAGTTCAATTTTATTTGTCATTATAAAAATAATTCAGTTCGAAGAACTAGATTGATTTGTTTTTTCAAACCAGTTCAGAACCGGCTCACTAATTTCGAATCAACTTAGAATTGTGTTTTAAAATTAATTTTAAACCCATATGAAAAGTATGAAAAGATTAAAGGAAAATAACATAAAAAAACTGTAAATGATGCTAGAAATTTAAAAAGCAATAAATAATTGAAAAAAAGAAGTAAAAATGAAGATAAATAAGAGAAAAATATACATAAGATAAAAAAATAAAAATAAAAATAAAAAAGAAAACAAAGAAATAAAATAAAGCAAAAAACAGTAAATAAAAAAGAGAAGAGAAATATAGAGGAAAAAAGGAAAAAATAAATGAAAGAAAGAGAAGGAAAATAAACTAATTCAATTTATGAATTATTTTTTTAATCTAGTTCGCTTCGTGAACTGATTTTTAAAAAAAGTAGTTCTTTTAAGTGCAGTTCAATTCATAATACACTTTGGATAGTTTGGTTCTTTTACATACCCCTGTTTAGCAGTATCAATACACAAAATTGAACAATCCAAAGTTTATAAAACAATAAATGTTTCCATCTGTCATGAGAAATAATTGATTATGAATTATCTAAATTATCGTCATGTTTATTTATAAAAAGAATTAAAAAATAAAAATATTTTCATGCATATTTAGTACAAATTGCAAAGGGAAAAAATATATCTAATGTTATTTTAGATAATTTTGTCTAATGTTCACTGAAATAATATTTTTTGAGTTTAAAAAATTAAAAAATTAGAATGATAAAGATTATTATAACCCTGAAATAAATTAAAATTACAAATACATCATGATTTCTTCTTAAAACAATATTATTTTAGTGAATTAAACAAAATTATCTAAAATAACTTTTTTTGAAGTCATTGCAAAGTTATAGAAAGCAAGCTATGGTTTATATATTGTTGAGATGAGGCAGAATATTATATCCTATCTTCATGTCTTCTTATCATTTCAAGAAATAAGTGTAAATGTCTTCTTATCATTTCAAGAAATAAGTGTACTTTATGCAAAATAAAAAGATCTTGAGGATACAAAAAAAAAAAAAAAAAAAATCTTCAATGGATGGGAAGAAGAGAAAAACCTGGTTTTGTTCTCTGACAAAGTTGAGACTCGGAGCCATCGTTGTGCAACGTAATTCGATAGTGAGACAGTTTTCAGTGAGAGAGATGCATATTTGATTCAATAAAACGCTCTATTTATAATCAAACGAATACCAAATTAAAGATCTGCGGAGAGTTCTATGATATTTTTAACAAGGGAAAAGTATTTGTGATAAAATATTGTATTATTTTAAGTGAAATGATAGTGTTTCACTTAATATTTAAATTAAAAACATTTCCATCAATAACTTTTAACTTGATCTATCACTGTGTAACAAGTCTTTAGCATAAAACACAGTTATTTTATTTAAAATGACATATTATTTTGTCATTTAAAGAAGGGAAAAAATATCTAATGTTATTTTAGATAATTTTATCTAATTTTTCCCGAAACGGCATTGTTTTCAGGTTGAAAAATTAAAAAATTAGAATGATAAAGACTATTATAATCCCGAAATAAATTAAAATTACAAATACAACATAAATTTTGCTCCAAAACGACGTCGTTCAGACGAACATTAAATAAAATTATTTAAAGTAACTTTAAAAAAAATAAACCTTTTAAAGAAATAAATACTTCTTTCTTTAAGTAAAACAACGTATGTTTATAGTCAGAGGAAGAATAAGAGATTTTTTATAAAATAAATTATTTTAAATATTAAGTGAAATATTATCATTTCATTTAAAATAACATAATATTATCAACCAAAAAAAAACAATATTCTATATTTTATTTTATTTTTTAAATGAGGTGATGATTTGTCCTGTGAAAGGACAAATGCTTTTTTTTTCTTTTAAAGAATTGTTACGTGTGTTAATGACAAAATAAACTCTTTGATTATAGATCTAAGATGAATAAATAATATTCATTTCACATGCGGGACATGGGGACCGCCGGATTTTGTGCTGACAATAGTGCAATAGATTTGACAGGAAAATATAGGAAAAGACTTCATATAGCGTAGTCAATGCCTTACTGAGCTATTACGTAATTCAGATGACGTAGATGGTAGTTACAGGAAATAAAATATACGATCGAAAAGACTTCATATAATGAAGTCGATGCCATATATAATAAAGTGTGGACGTTACAAAATGTTATCTGTGTAAGAAAATTTATTGTGTCATGTTAAATGATAAATACAAAATCCATAAAAGATAAATGGCAAAGGAGTTTGGCATTGTCGTTTTATTTTGGTTAGCAAGACCCTTGTGTAAATAAAAGAGTAAAGCTATTTTCATGTGCCTGAAAAAAATAACACGATTCTTCTTTTTATTTCTTAAAAAAAAAATTAATTTTTGATCCTTTTATAATTTTAGTTCTTTGAAAATATAATTTTTCAAAAATTCAATAATGACTCAATTTAATCCCTAAAAAAATATTAATATGAGTATTTTTTTTTGTAAAGAATGAAGGCGAAGACCGTATTTTTTGTTAGGAACGTAAAATGAATTTTATCTAAATAAAATGTTTCCAATGATATAATATACTTATGCTGGTTGAATGGCAAAATATAAGATGGCAATGTTTTTCTGGAGGAGTTTAAAATTTTAATCTTGAACTTGCACTGAACTTTGAATTAGTCTATGGAAAAGTTATGAAATTATAAGAAATAATCTAAAGAAAATAGAAAAAAGATGGCAATGTCTTCATCGGAGTTCCGATTTATACTAACATCGCATAGTAGTTAATGAACATGCAATGCAAGTGTCATTAAATAATTTAATTACTCCTTAATATATATATATATATATATATATATATATATATATGGATAAGATCTTTTGACACCAGTGTTAAATTTAAAGTTTGACACCACATCTAAGAGCCGTTAGATCAAAAAAATATCAACGACTCTGATTTGTAAGCCTATGACATCATTGATCTTTTTCGATCTAATGACTCTCATATGAGATGTCAAATTTGGCATTGAGAGCCATTAAATAAAAAAGAGTAAATACCCTTTTTGGTCCTCAGCAAATTTCACGATGCCTGTTTTAGTCCCCAGCAAATAAAAAGGCCCATCGTGGTCCCTAAGAAATTCAAAATGGACTCATTTAGTTGAAATCATGGTCTCTCACAAATTCAAAAAAGATCCAAATTAGTCCCTAAAAGGACTAAAATGGGTCCATTTTGAATTTCTTAAGGACCACGATGAGCCTTTTTATTTGCTAGGGACTAAAGCGGGCATCGTGAAATTTGCTGAGGACCAAAAATGGTATTTACTTAATAAAAAAAGATAACAACTCTGATTTGTAAGCATATGACATT